TGGGCTCAAGTGTAACAAGGATTGTGAGGCTGGTGCACGACCAGGCAGTGTTTTGTTCTGTTGTACACAGGGTCGCTATGAGTCGGAGCTGACTTGACGGCATCTAACAACAAATGCCTAGGATATCACTCTTTATGTGCTCCATTTCAATTTTTACAACTTCCCGCTTTCCTAGATTCACATCTACATCCTATGTTCCAATTATTAATGCAGGTATGCAGGTGTTTTTTCTCATTTCAAGTCATGCCACATCAACAAATGAAGGTCCCAAAAGCTTTATTCTATCCATGTCATTACAACTGACTCTACTTTGAGAGGGAGCTCTGATGGCGTAGTGCCTAAGGCATTTGACTGCTAACCAAAAGGCTGGAGGTTCAAACCCATCAGCCACTCCTCAGAAGGAAGATTGGGCAATCTACTTGCTTAGAGATAAGATACTGCCTTGGAAACCCAAGGAGGGGTCGCTATGAGTTGGGATGGACTTGATGGCAGTGAGTACCTACTTTGAGAAGGCAGCTCTTCCCCAGTCGTATTTTGAGTGTCTTCCCACCTGAGGGGCTCATCTTCTGGCACTGTATCACACATTATTTCCTGTTATTCAAAAGGTTTCCAGTGGCCAATTTTTCAGAAGTGAACCTGGCCCCATCCTTCCTCTTAGTCTGTTTTAGTCTGGAAGTTCCACTGAAGCCTGTCTACCATGAGTGACCCTTCTGGTATTTGAAATAATGGTGGCATAGCTCCCAGCATCACAGCATACACAAAAGCCACCACAGTATGACAAACTGACAGATTAGTGGTAGATTATAAAGCTACAAAAATGTAAAAATGTATTATTGATTGTAAAGGATTAAATGATGTCCTCAAAACATGTGTTGTAAATTCTAACCTCTATGCCTCTCTCTATAATTCCATTTGGGAATGGGTTCTCTTTGTTATGTTAATCATGTAGGATTAGTGTAGGGTGCATTTTGAGTCAATATCTTTTGAGATGTAAAAAAGAGTTTAAATAGGCAAGTAAAGGTGGAAGAGAGATGCCATGTCACAAGAGGATCACCAAGGAACAGAAGCTCAAGAAACAAGGACCTTCCTCCAGAGCTGACAGAGACAGAGAAAGAGAGACAGACAGAAAGCTTTCCACTAGAGCCAGAGCCCTATATTCATATTTCCAGGGTCCTTACTTTGAGAAACTAAATTTCTGTTTGTTAAAGTCACCTGGTTGAAGTATTTCTGTTATAACAGCACTAAATAACCAAGACGACATTGACAAAGGAATGGCCAATGTGCCAATTTGAAGATGGGAAAATCAGCCCTGATAACTAGTTTTGCAAATCTCTATGAGAATTGAGACTATTGTGAAATTTAGCAAAGTGTTATACCCTTACATTATACCTTACATAAAAATAAATCGCAAACATAGTCAAGATCTAAATATAAAAAGACAGAACTATAAAAGTACTAAAAGACCAGGTAAGTGAGTACTTTTATATTTTTGACTGATAAGAAGCTTTTCCTGTGCAATATACATAGGTCACAGGACACACGTGACAAATTTGATTAGAAAAAAATTAAATTACACTGTAAACCTGAAGTCGAAAGCGGTGGTCAACAAGCCCAGTGATGAGCTACATTGTCTGATCTCCAAGGTGATTTGTTTTTAAGTGGAGTAGGTTGCCAATATTTAAAAATATTTCACATACAACTATTTTAAAATATTTCACATACAAAACTGGATGTCTGATAATACCATATCCTCACTTCCACTTGGCAATAACTGGCTATGGCTAAGAAGTGAAGCCCTCTTTTGGTGGGGCAGTAGCTCTCTGGTTCACCGTGACTCCCACCCCCTCTCTAGTCATTGACTTTACCTTTATGGTCACTTCATGCATTTCATTCTCGAACCCTATCATAAAATAAAGGCAGGGGAAAATAAGTGCAACATTACACAACAGACAAAAGATTAATAACTGTATACGTAAATAGAACCTGAACTTCTAAAATGAGTATGAGAAAGATAAAAACTAGCAAAGGCAATTTACAAAAGAATACAAATGGCCAATGAACAAATGAAAAGAACAATCTCTCTTCCAATCAGGGAAATGAACAAGTGTTTTTGCCCATTAGACTGGCAAAAATGAAAAAGAAATGATGGTAATATCTTGTCTTGGCAAGAGTATAGGGAAGTGGCAAGCTCAAACACAGTTGATAGAAGGGGAAATTAGAACAAATTTTGATGGGCAATTTGGCAGGAGCTACCAAACTTTAAAATGTGTATACATTTTGCCACAGGGATCCTAGGAATCTGACATATGGACTCACTCACACATGTCTACTAAGATACACATGTGTACACCAGGATATTCAATATACTCTGGCAAGTGGAAGGTGCCTAATGCTCATAAATAGGGGAACGGCTAAATACATTATGTAGTGTTCCAAACAATGGATATACCACAGCCACTAAAAACAATGGATCTACATCTGTTGACAGAGAAAAAACTCAGGCAGTACCTTGTTATGTGAAAATATCAAATGCCATAATAATTAGCATCTAAACCAAACCAAACCCAATGCCATTGAGTCAAACAATTTTAGAGAGCTCCTCCTGAGTGGTGCAAACAGTTGACTTGATTGGTAACTAAGAAGTTGAAGGTTCAAGCCCACCCAAAGCACCTCTAAAGAAAAGGCCTGATGATCTACTTCCAAAAAAGTCAACCACTAAAAACCCTATGGAACAGTTCTACTTTGACACACATGGGTTCACCATGAGTTGGAATCAACTCAAGGGCAAACTGGTGATGATAATCAATTTTAGATTAAAAAAATATATGCATTTGTCTACACATCTCTATATATCCACATGCATACACATGCACACTTCTCCCTGTTAACCACTATTAACATATTTATATAAATATTCAGATTTTACAATGTGTTTATATATTTATAAACATAGATAGATAGTTAGATATATAGTTGTAGGTTTTACTCTATAGTTTTGCAATTATCCCAAGAAGCATATATTCAAGCATTACCTGAATGACTTTAAAAAAAAAACTCACTGCTGTGGAGTCGAATCTGACTCATAGTGACCCCTTGGGTTTCTGAGGCGGTATCATTACAGAAGTAGATTGCCCAACCTTCCTTACGAAGGAGTGGCTGGTGGGTTTGAACCACCAGCCTTCTGGTTAGCAGTCAAGTGCCTTAGGCACTTCGCTACCAGAGCTCCCTTAAAGAGGACAGAAAGTGTTTTCTAGGGAGTTGGGGAAAAAAAACTACCAGGATTTGTGGGGAGTGGGACAGGAAAGAACTCTTGGGAAGTACTGTGTTAGTTATGGAGCTAGAGATGGGGGATGGTGTGTTGAGTACCAAATTATGGTAATGCTGGAGATGAATGTCGTAAAAGTGATAGAGAATACCCATTCCTTTCTTCTACCCTAATCTGGTCATCACTCAAGACCATTGAATATGCCTTTGTTGTTTAAATTAAAGCTCTTAGAATTTCCTATTTCACTTCTGATACCAAATTTTAAGTATGGTATCACTTCAACAATGTAAAATTCATTAAAAAAAGGTTTGGAAGGAAATACGCCAACTTACTGCCTTTGGGAGAAGGGAGTAGGAGTTATATTCTTTCTGCTTCCTCATTCTTTTCCATTTTTCTTTTATACCTATGTATTACTTAAATCAACAGAAAAAAGAATACTTTGCAAAATAAATTTTATCTTATAGTGGAAATAAAGGCTATGTTCCCTAAATAATCTATGGCCTAGGAAGACACGCAGCCTAGTAAATGCGTGGTGGTGGTTTTTCACTAAGTTCCATTGAGTGAATTCTAACTCATGGTGACCCCTTGTGTATATGTGTATTAGAGTAGAACTGTGCTCCACAGGGTTTTCATGGTTATGACCTTTCAAAAGCAGATTGCCAGGCCTTCCCAGATGCCTCTGGGTGGGTTTGAAATGCCAACTTTTCAGTTAGTAGTTGAGCACTTAACTTTTCCTTGTCATCTAGGGTCTCCGAGTATGTGTAGAGGCTTCTCACTCTTAAGATATTCTTTTACTGGCTGTGAGTCCCCTTGCTCCACACTTCAGGGTAGGGATCATGGTGGGACTTGAGGTGGAAACAGGTGGTAGACTAGAAGAAAGGTCCTGTTCTTTCTTGAGTTACACTGATTTTCTCCCCATTTCTCAATGGCTCTGAACCTCTTGTGCCCTACCGTCTTTCTTTCCCAGCATCTCTCCCATTATCTACTCCTGGCTCTCATTTTCCTATTCCTGTCCTGACTATTCACTGCCCCCTAAGCTCCTCCTCTTCCTTTCTTTTCTTCAAATCACCCATATTCATGGTGGAAGATACGTAACATGGGAAAGGTGAGGCTGGGATGAATGGGAATATTCCATTTCTGCAGGTGACCATTGTCAGGCTCAAGCTTTGAGTCAATGGTCATGGTTATCTGAGAAGGAATTAAGAAGCAAAAAAGGATCAAAATACTAAAAGTCAATCTTATATAATAAAAATAAAATTCTAAAGAATATTTCCCACTCATGGATTGATGTCCCCAAGGGGAAGGCTTCAAAATCATTAATGAAAAAAAAATACCCCAAAGCCTGTGTTAAAGGTTATAATGTGTCATTATAAATAGGATCTGATGCCAAAAAAAAAGTTTTAAAAAAGCAAAATTAAGGAGCAGCTTTTTTACAAACTATCCTTCTAGGAAACCACATCACCTTTTTTTTTTTCCACTAGGAAAAAAGCAAAGAAAGCACTTTTGCCTAAAGGCTCAATACCTACAAGGAAACCACTCAGCTGGTTGACCTCATTGAGGCCTCTTCTTCCTTGTAAGTTCTTAATTCACTGGAAACTTGGCCAGAATCACTCTTGAGATGTCATTTCCACCTCAGCACAACCTCCTGTGACTGCTCGGTAAACATTAGTGGAATGAATTAATGAACAACTGAATGAATTGGGGGGAAAAAGCAACACTCTACTGGGGTGCTTACCTCTTCTGGTTCATGGAGGCCACCTGGAGCCACTCATTTGTGCTGGGGTTATAGGAATGTGCGGCGGAGATCTCCTGGCTTGTGATCCTGTACCCGCCCACTATGAAGAGGTAGTTGTCTAAGATGGCAGACCCGTACCCCCTGACGTTCACCAGGTCGGGAGGAAGGTTGTTGGCCAGCGGGAACCAACGTTCAGTCATCTCCTCGTATCTGAGCATGGATGGGGGCTCACCCTGGTAAGGATGAGGGGCCAGAGGTCCCCCTAAGAAGTCCCCTAGGGCCACAAGGACTGGAGTTCCAGTCATCCGAGCCTCTCTAAGCCTCTGCTTTAGGCTGACGTCCCCTGGGGTTTGGGGAGGAGAGCCTAGGAGGTGGAACTGGGGCTTGCACAGCACCTCGTGAAAGTGGATGACCATGAAGCGCAGACAGGCCTCCTGCAGGTCAGGCAGCCCGTACACCTGCGCCAGGCGGTACATCTCCAGGCAGTTGTTGAGCCGCACCTGAGACAACAGCAGCTGCAGCAAGGACGTGACTTGCAGGAAAGAAGCCGCTTCCACAAGCTCGGACAGCAGGCTCACCTCGTCCATGTCTTCCTCCTCCTCCACTCCCCCGCCCTTCTCCCCCCGTGGGCCCAGGAGCCAGCCTTCGCGGGCTCCGCCAGCGTTGATGAAGTCCAGCACCAGCCGCAGGCCCGGGGCGCTGAGGCCGCGCAGCTGCTGCACCTCGGGGCCGCCGGGCTCCTGGCTCAAGGCCTCGCGCATGCCGGAGCGGTAGAGGGCGCGGAAGTAGTCGCTCTGCTCGATGAGCTTCCTCTTGCTCACCGGGTAGCAGCGGTCCTCCAGGCGGATCTGCACCATCTCCTCGGCCGACATGGCTGGGGGGCCGGAAACTGAGTGGCTTCCTGCCAGATCTGCCGCTCTCCTCCCCGCCCCCACGCACTCGCCGGGTTCCGGGTTGGGCGCGCGGAGGGATGGCGGCCCGGGAGGAGGGAGGCTGCCCGCTCCTGAGCTTGCCGGGCCTATCTGGGTTACTGTGGGGCCCCCAGGGAGCACTCCTTCCTCCGTGCCCCGAAGACTGCGACTCAGCCTTTCTCCCCCAGAGCGGCGGTCCCGCCCTTCTCGTTTCTTTTAGCGACAAAAAAGGCCGAGCTCGCGCGGTCCAAACGTCTGGAGGCGGCCGCAGACCTCGCTCCAAGGCTCCCGGGAGGCGTCAGGCAGAGAGGGTATCCCAGCCCCCAGCCTGCAGCCTCCTCCCACGCCTCCGTTCTCACTTCCGCCCACAGGACCCCTGTAAACCTCTAGACCTGCGAACTAGATCCGGCTTTCGGAAGGAGCTGGGAGGCTGCAGGGCCTTCTGCGTCGGGATGCTGACGCGCAGGCAGCAGGAGCCTGGAGGGCGTGCGTCCCCGCAGCCTCTCAGGCACGTACGGTGCGCACAGGCTCTGCTGACTGCCAGTGTCTGGAATGATGCTCTTAGGTGGTAAAGGAGAGAAGATGAACCCAATTTGTGTTTTCCTTCAACTCTGCTTTACCCGGGGGCAGGGGGACAGGGAAAGAAGCGGTGTGGCGGGAAAAGATGCGCAGTCTGGGTCGAGGGGGTCAAAGACATCATGTTTGAGGTCATCTTTCTCGCCCAGTCTGGCAACGTGTCCCAGAGGGCTGAGGCGTACAGGAGGTCTCTGGACATGTCAGAATCCTAGAACGGATACTTAGGTACGATCATCATTTAGGTGCCATCTTGCAGAAGGCCCAGGCAGATGGCAGGAGGTTCTGCAGGGCTCAATTGATGGGGTCCACGGTGCACTGATGTACAGTGTTGGAAAACAGGGAGCTTGTCTTTGCTTCTGGGACCTCATTATATTCATGCTATTGGAAAGACTGAAGTACAATTCAGCTAAATTTAGATCACATGTGCCTTTTCTGTTTTTAAAATCTTAGATTATTTTTTAGCAAATATTTTCTAAGAGGCTTTTCCTGTTTCATTTAGTTAGGCTAGCCATTTTGGAGGCGCTCTGGTAGTATAGTGCCTAAGGCACTTGATTGCTAACCAAAAGGCTGGTGGTTCAAACCCACCAGCCACTCCTCAGAAGGAAGGTTGGGCAATCTACTTCCATAGTGATACCGCCCGGAGACCCAAGGAGGGGTGGCTATGAGTCAGGGCTGACTCCACGGCAAACAACAGCAGCCATTTTGGAATGTAATCTTTGGGTATCGGGTCTGGCCGTTTTTGTTCATATATGCCTACAGAGGTGGTTTTGCTCATCGTTGGTTACCTCACCCCAGTCCCAAAGTCTGAAGACCACTTAAGAAGAAACCACCTCTTCTCCATCTTCTCCCACTGAAGAAATAAAAATTTCACCCCAATTAATAGAAAGTATCCTTGTGTTGCTTCTGAGATACCAATCCCTCAAAGGGAGGGGAGTGGAAAGAAACATACTGTTATGGTTACCTAGGGCCACTCTGACAGAAATATATCACAAATGGGATGGCTTTAACAAACAGGAGTTTATTCTCTCACAGTTTGAAGCCTTTAAGTCCAAGTTCAAAGTGCCAGGCTCTAGGGGCTGGGTGAAAGTCCCACAACCTTGGGTTGCTGCTCTGCCTCGTGCTCCAGGCCCACTGAAGCAGGAGGCTTTTCTTCACTCAGCTGCTGGCTGCTGAGGCTGACAAACCCAAGGTTGACAAGTAACAAGGCACAGTCCCATAACCCCAAACCACACGGCAGGCCATCGATTGAAGTCCACTGGAAGTCCCAAGATTGGCAGAGCGAGGCAGGCTGCTAAACAATGACAGAACTACATGCAGAGTTCAAGCATGCCATAAGCTAGAAACAATCCCCAAGACTTCTTATATACAGGAAGCAGACCACATCCCAAAGGCAGCTACTCAGCTGCTTGTGGTAAATCCCACCATGGAGTTGACTGCCAGCCTTATATGGGGAATAACTACCACCAGCTGCCCACCCACTCAACCAGGCCCAGCCAAGTTGTCACACAAACTGAACTACCACACATACTGTTAAGTCTCCTTAGGGAGAAGGAGAGTGTGTTCACTCTTCTCTTATAAAGAATGCTTGAAAACTTCCAAGGGTTCCAAGACCAAGATTTGAGAACCAACTATAACAGTTCTCAATGTGGGGAAAACAGTGTTGGAAATTATTTTTAATCTCAATCCTCAACTCTCTTCTTGAATGACAGGATGTTCAACAATCTTGACTATTTCCCTTATTACAAACAGAAGATAGCCCACATAATGTGAATTAACATTGGATGTTAGGAAAACTCACTTGGAGCTAATGCTAATCCTCACCATCCTACCCTCATTTGGTTAATAATGGATCTTTTCTCTTATTAGAGTAAGTACCAGGGTAAGTGAGTTGCTATTGCTATGACTTCACTTTTTCTTTCTGAAGTTTTACATTGTGATTTTCACTTACACAATTATAATTACCAGTGGAAATCAAGCTGCATTGATTCTTCACTGAAAAAAAGCAAAACTACATTCAAATTACAAACTCATTTTTCCTTGGCGGCAGTGGGGGGGGCGGCTGTTGCATTGCATATTCTGGTAATAGATATTCTCTGCCATTAATATTTATCATTTGTATTTTGGTAAAATCACTGAGCTAGAAAGATGCTTAAATACCATCCAGTCTACTCTTTCATTTTACAGATGAGGAGCTAGGACTAGAGATACTGTGATCTGCCTAAGATTACAAGATAAACAGGCAGTGCCTGCCTTGGAAGCCCTAGTTTACCAGTAGGTCCAGAGTTCTTTCAGCCACAGAATTAATAATACAGGCAGGACACAGAAAAAATATAGCCTGACAATTAGAAATGTATCATATATTAAGGAATCATTAATTTTATTAGTTTTGTTGATGTAATAATGGCATGGCATACTATTGTATTTTAAAAATGTTTTTACAACTAAAACTTGCATACTGAATTGTTTTGGTTACTTTTTTCCGCTTTAACAGAAAGATACCACAAATGGGGGGTTTAATAAATGGGAGTTTATTCTCTTACAGTTTTGGAGGCTACAAGTCTGAGTTCAAAGTGCCAGGCTCGAGGGACTGGGTGAAAGCCCCTCAACCTTGGGCTTCAGCTCTGTCTATTGCTCCCAGCCCACTGAATCTGGAGGCTTTCTTCACTCAGGCAGCTGCTGGCTGCTGAGGCTGACAAACCCAAAGGTCAACAAGTAAAAAGGCACAGTCCCAGTAGTACCACACAACATGGCAGGCCACTAGTTCAAGTCCAGAAAAAGTCTGAAGATCGGCCGAGCATGCAGGCTGCTGAACAACAACTTGACTACATGCAGGGTCCGAGCATGCCATAAGCTGGAGCCCGTCCTCAAAGTTGCTTCTTATATACTGGAAGCAGCCCATATCCCTAAAGCAGCTACTTAGCTGCTCCAGTAGATTCCACCATGGAGTTAATTACCAATCTCACCATGGGTAATAACTACATCCAGCTGCCCGCCACTCAAAACCAGACCCAGCCAAGGTGACATACAACCTTAACTACCACATGAATCATGAGTGAAGTAACAGTCGCTGGGATTTGCTTTACAATAAACAAAAAGGAGGAGATAGAGAAACAAGATTGGCAAGATAATGACAACACTGAAGTGGGGTGATGGATTCATGAGTATCACTGTTCTCTCATATATATGCTTCTGTGCCCATATGAAATTTTTTGGTGTACTGCCTAAGGCATTTGACTGCTAACCAGGAGGCTGGTGGTTCAAACCCACCTGCCACTCCTTGGAAGGAAGGCTGGGCAATCTACTTCCGTAGAGATTCCTCATGTGTCAGAATTCTCATGAGTTGGAATCAAATGGACAGCAATGAGTTTGGTTTTGGTAATAGAAAAAAAAAAAAAAAACACAGACTTCTTTTGCAAAGGTTTCTTTTTTTCTCCCCTAAGAAGTGCCATGGTAGTGGTCTGGTAGCATAGTGGCTAAGGCACTTGACTACTAACCAGAAGGCTGGCAGTTCAAACCCACCAGCCACTCCTCAGAAGGAAGAAGGGGCAATTTACTTCCGTAGTAGGCGGTAGCCTTGGAAACCCAAGGCGGGGTCACTAAGAGTCGGGTCCGACTTGATGGCACATAACAACAACAAGTGCCATAAGGATTTTTATTTTTCAATTGCAAACTTCAGCTTGACAAGTTGTTAAATTGTATCTTCTTCAAAAGTATATTTTCCCTATTCTAAAAGAATATACATACTTCAATGCTGATTAACATTTTGTTAGGAAGAAGGGGAAGGTAAAATACTAGAGGAAGCAAAGAATGTCAGAGGTAAAACATAAAATCCTTTAGCATACTGCTTGGTTGTATTTGTGCTTCTTACTGTGTAATTTAGCTGCTTTGTTGTGAGGCCATTATTTTCTTTCTGATACACCATGAATAAGGACCTGAAATGCAAAAGACAGAAAAAAATTCTAGTAGATTTTGGTTTACATGGGGAAAATGAAGGAAACAAACATGCATCTATGACTTGTATCATTATTTTCTTGGATACTTTTGAAAAGTTAGCTGTTCACCTTGTTTCACCTGGCCTTTAAATCATTACTGATAAAACACCATTCTCACACCTCCTTCTCACACTTCTGGTCTCAGTGAAGGTACAGTCAAGACATTCTAAGGTAGTTAGAGGGTAAGTGGCCATGGATTTAGCAATAGCTTTGAAAAGTGAAGGGTCAAATGCAGTAATAGGCAGTATTGTAGGGGATTTTTGCTAGGAGTTCCCTTCAACCCCACTATATTTAAAATAGGCTTGGATTTATCTGTGCCTCCATCAGTGACAATGCCAGATTGAGCAGGTCAGCCAAGAACAGACTGTTAGTCTTTCCGCTGTCCCTTTAGAATCTTTCAC